TCTTTCAAACGTTTACAAAGACTACGAGTTAGGGAAATCGGGGGCCTAAATGTATCAGGCGTTTGCTTAAACAAACAATGATCAATTAATTTAGTATTAAGTAGGCTGTAAGCCATTAATTAAGTTTGCCCATAATGCCTAGGCATGATAGGGGCTCTTTGTACCTCCAACTCCTTTATTGTAGTTAGTCAAAATCTCAATGTATCTTGCATTATTATTAAATCAGGGGGAAGCGCTAACCCGGAGATTATACAGCGCCCTGGGGGGGGGATGTGGAAGGCATTCAGGCTTTTAATTTCGGGAACTGGAGCACAGATCCAATTCCCGAAATCAAGAGCCCCTCACCCCAACATCAAGAACCTTCCTTGAGTATGATGTAATCTTGCATAGAAATAAAATTTGATTGCTTGTTGTATTTATTTATCACTAATTAATCAATCATTACTGTATGGTAGACATGTCTTAAACATTCGCGTTACCATCTTATATAATTAATAAGGAGTGACTCTTGAACTCATTAATAGCCTCACTATATATATCCCACGTTTATTCCATGGTGAAAATTTACTCATAATAAAAGGTACTTATGATACTTATAATAATAATGGCTTTCCTAAGAACCAACGAAAAAAGGTTTTTCAGTACGCAGACAAAGTGTCATCCCATTCACTGTAATGCAACATCGCAATAACTGTATTTTTTTTTTTAAGAAAAATTGTTACATATAATCATAATTCTTATGCTGAAAACAATGGATTCCTGGTTAGCGCTGCCAGATGTAAAAATAAACCTAAGTAAATTATTGTACTCTTTTAACAGCACATATTTGTTAAAATATAAATAAAGCTTATATCAATTAAGGCATTAATAAACTGTATATTTAAGTTTTTATAAAAAAATACAGTTCGAAGATGTAGACGTGAACACGCCCTACGTCTGGCATATATACTTTGTTACAAATGAATGCTAAAACTTGATGTTATTGCCTTTAGTACTAAACTTTCACAGAGAATTTTCAAACATTTACTAATTAATTAATAATTACATAAGTTTAAGCTAAAATAATACTCAATGGTATACATTATTTGACAGTTTATTGTAAGAATAAGGGTTCATTTGTCAATATTGTGAGTACTTTGGAGTTGTTTACATCGGCAGTCTGGGTCCTCATTTTGTTGTAAGTTTTGTACATGCTTCACTCTAGTTTTGGGTGGAAACAACTCTGCCCTTCGAATGCCTTCACCCATACAGCTAGCAAATGGGGCTCCCCATTTAGCATAATTTGTACATAAAAAGACTATGAGTGTTGCCAATGAGCCCCTGTCAAATTATACAACAATGGCTCCATCAGCTGGCATCTCAGATACTCATTTGGAGATACGACGATCCCATTGAGACAATGGTAACTTGAATTCCCAGGGAGTACGCTTAGAGTGGAATAATGAGGTGGGAAAGAATGAGAGTGTTTGTGAGAAGCCCCATGACAGATGTGGGGAGGGAATCAGACCCACCCATAAGCATTAACCATCACAGGAAATTTCATCCTTTTACTTGAGCTGGGCTATCCTAGATTAATTTCACTACGTGGTGTAATACATAAGATAATTGTAAAAAAATTAACTTATGTACGAAGTCAAGTGGTTTTTATTAAGCAAACCATACACAATTAAATTTTTTTACAGTAGTCCATGGAGGGAACATAATGTACATATGTACTAATAGATTAATTTAGGAGAACCCCTGTTAAAGCCAAATAATGAACATATCACTATTTGGTAATATTAATACATATGCCTATTCATATGCTGGCTTATACCTTTATTAATATATAATATCTTTATTACTAATAAAACACAGACAACATATTAGGATATTTGTTAAGACGTTTTGCTCCCCAGAATGATAAAGTTCTTGTGAGTGAAATGTCTCCTTATTATGTCCTAATACTGCTTATATGTCTTTCTTGCACACTAGTCATTGTTGATCACCATTTGTGACCTCAAGCAGTACAAAAATAAAATTTGTAAATCTTACGTTATAAGTGTGTCAGCAGTACAAGAAATCACTTAATTTTTTTTTATTTACAATTACTATCATAATTGAAAATTAATTTTATTGCCAGTATTATTAGAAACACATTTAACAACTAACTCTTTCTTATCACTAGTTTCTTGTTACTATTATATAGCCCATGAATTCTAATATTTATCCTAAACTAAATCTGATCTTAGTATTAATGATATACAATACCAACAAGTAGATAAATAAGACATGTGCAACATTTGGGTATCTTTATTGCCGAAATGTTTTACCTGTGCGGCAGGCTTCTTCGGTCAGGTACAAGGTTGCTAACATCTTGGAGACAGTTAGTAAAGAGTACATCTACACCTTTATTGCTTTGCAATTTATTGGTGTTCTTATGTGTGAGATGGGTTAGATTTGAGAGAAGCTTGCCTAGCAAGGGCTGTCTACTGGAGTGAGAGCTCGTAAAATAAGGTCAGTGGATATACATTAACAAGAAAAGGTGGAAAAATGTATATTTAATGCTTTAATAAATAGAACACAAAGAGTAGTAGTAAACAAAGCAAAACCTAACCTTAAGAGTATAAAAAATTCAGTTCCCCAAGGCACTGTCACAAGTTTATGGGTTATACTTATATTTATCAATGTTGCATATTATGCCAGTCTTATACTATAATAATAATAATAATAATAATGATAATAATAATAATAATTTTATTTTTTTTATTTTTTTTTATTATCACACTGGCCGATTCCCACCAAGGCAGGGTGGCCCGAAAAAGAAAAACTTTCACCATCATTCACTCCATCACTGTCTTGCCAGAAGGGTGCTTTACACTACAGTTTTATAACTGCAACATTAACACCTCTTAGAGTGCAGTGCACGTACTTCCCATCTACAGGACCAAGTCGGCCAGGAACTGTTTTTTACTGCTTCTAAAAGCTAGATAACAGGAGTATCTGTACTTACTTACACTTTGTCACACCTCCAACTCGCACAGCATATATATAAACATACTCAGTTTTTCCCCTTATTCCTAAATAGCTTCTTGGTTTTTATTTCTTACTATTGTCCATGGGTGAAGTGAAAAGAATCTTTCCTCGTAACCATCTTGTATGAGCACTAAAATGCGGGAGAATGGCTAGTAACCCCTTCTCCTGTATACATTTACTAAAAAAGAGAATAATAATTTTATTTCTTCAAATACATGTACAAAGTATACAGGCCTAGCTGACAACAGTGACATACGACTACAAAGAAAAACACTTGTTATGCAGAGCATTACGGGCAAATTAGGTCAGTTTTGTCCTGGGATGCGACCCACACCAGTTGACTAACACCCAGGTACCCATTTTATACTGATGGGTGAACATAGATAACTGGTGTAAGGAAACATGCCCAGTGTTTCTACCCTCGCCTGGAATCGAACCCAGACCCCTCACTGTGTGAAGTGAAAGCTTTAGCCACCAGGCCATGATAAATACAGTATTATTTACTGTATATCCGTTGGATCTTCCTTTCAGAGACAGGCTATAGCCCATTACTCATTTGATGTACTAGTTTTCTTTCTCCTCTTCTCATGAGGGAGGGGCTCTACTAGTAGTTTATTAGGCTGTTCTTGTGGCCTCTGTGTCATCTTGCAGCTTTGTACAGTCCTCTTCCATCTCTTTTTTTGTGAGCTTTTCACCATTCATAAACAGTGATATGCAGTTTTGCATAGAAAAGAAAAAGTGCCAAATTCAAACAGCAGAGAAAAACATAGGCATGAGGGAGATCAGAGCTATGAAGCTCAGGTTTCCATACTTTGTTATGGGGCTTTGAGCCAGACTTACAGATGCATAAACAATATCTACACATTCCCACAGATGAAACTTTAGGGAATCGACTCATTTCCTAACCTTGATATTGTTTGTGGTAGTGCTTATTCTTCTTTGCCATGTAATACCTTAAAATCTGGAAGTCCCTGCCTGAAAATTCGAGAACCACAGACTCAACCACCATTTTCAAAACTACTGTTAAAAACATCTTATTGCCCTAACACACCCCATCATCAGCTAATAATGTGAAAAACCACCTTTTCTCTTTTTGTATCATGAACACATCCAAAAGAAAATAGACCTGCTTTCGTTATCTGTAATATCCCCTAATCTACACTTACACTCATCCAAATGACTGTAAACATAAAATTCCCAATACATATAGCTATTGCCTAATAAATCTTAAGTTAGTCTTAAGTTTGCCCGAGATACTCCAATATAAGAGCTTTAATAGACACTGTGTATCATACCAAGACAAAACCATTCCAATTACTAAATTTACTAATTGTAATATTGTCATATGTTTTGTACTACTACACAATTATAAATCAAATTAATCACTGCAGTTACCGAACTTTTATATCATTATGCCCCATAATCTGTGTCAATATAGAGTAAGAGTAAGAATTAGGATTAGTCTGCCCGAAATGCCTAGGCATGCTAGTGGCCTTCTTTGTAATTAATATTTTATAATATGTAAACCACACATTGTAAGCATTGCAAGGAAATCAACATTTTAATTTTAATTTAATTTTAATTTAAGGTAGGAATGTTCTTGAAGTACAAGCTAATCCTTAGGTAAATCTTCTTGTTACTCTACCTCAGCTTATCATCTCTACAATAACTTATATCCCAGCCTGTGTACGGAAGTTTGGTGTAAAGGGTTGGTATGCTGTAAGCATATATTGTTCAGAAAATATTTAGGTTCTTTGTAGTACTGTACTGTATTTTTGTTACTTTCATGCATTAGTTGAACTTTAAGTGTTAGATTGTATTGTACACGAGGCATTGAACATGAAGGTTATTTTGCACAAGGGGTAGTGAAGGCATGATTCTTTGCTGCATGCGAGACAGATGTGTTACCTATTTGTACATACCTATTTGTAAATTTTAATAGTGTAAAACATCTGTAATACTTAGCTCATTTTCTGTTTGTGCAGACGTATGTTACAAGGAATGACAAACGATGGAGTCTGCTCCTCCCCTTAACCTGTCCACAACTGTCAAAGTAGAGGACTTGAGGGCAATGGTTCCAGAAGAGAATGCTCACGAATATACCGTTGAAGGAGAGGTGGTTGATGAGGACAGTGGTACTGTTGATGAGGATGGCAACACACTAGCCTTGGATGAGGAGGAAGGAAACACAAAAGAATTGATAAACAACCATGAGGATACAAAAGAAAACCTCATATCAGAAGCCAAACATCTGATGTCTAGAGGTCGACTAGGTTCAAAAGAAAAGGAATACAAGTGCTCTGAGTGCCCATCAGCATTTGTAAGGGCTAGTCAGCTACGGGCACATGAAAGGACACACTATGAGGAACAGGTTAGTGGAAAGAGGACTTGTTTTAGTTCTTTCTTCTTTCAACAAACTGGCCACATCCCAACGAGGCAGAGTGGCCCAAAAAGAAAAACAAAAGTACTGTTTTAGTTATCTATACATAATTGACAAGAGAAATTGAAAGCAACTCAGACAAAATTTGTTTTTAATCTTAACAAAAATATTGATTTTCTCTTGAATTTATTAAAGGTATGTGAATTGTTTTTTCAAGTTTAGTAATATGTAAGTGATCATAACAGTAGTATGAATTTCAAGAGCTGGTGTTTGATTTAGGTGAACTAGGTGGATTTAAATTTTATTTTGTTTACTTGAGTTATAGAGGATTTTTTGAGTTTCATCTTTTCTTGTTCTACTTGTGCTTTACAGTGAATAGATATAAAGCATGAAGATTCAATCTGATGTATGAGTGTTATCACAGGTTAATGTAATTAATGGTAGACAGCAACCGCCCAGGGAGGTACTACCGTCCTGCCAAGTGAATGTAAAACAAAAGCCTGTAATTGTTTTACATGATGGTAGGATTGCTGGTGTTTTTTTGTCTGTCATAAATATGCAAGATTACAGGTATGTCTTGCTACTTCTACTTACACTTAGGTCACAATACACATACATGTACACATTTATTTATACACACTCATCTGAGTTTTCTTTGATTTTATCTTAATAGTTCTTTGTCTTATTACTTTTCCTTTTATATCCATGGGGAAGTGGAATAAGAATCTTTCCTCCGAAAGCCAGGCGTGTTGTAAAAGTCAACTAAAATGCCGGGAACAATGGGCTAGTAACCCCTTTTCCTGTAAAGATTACTAAAAAGAATAATAAGAAGAAAATTGTCAAAGTGGGAAGTCTGAATGTGCGTGGATGTTGTGCAAATGATAAGAAAGAGATGATTGTGGATGTTATGAATGAGAAGAAGCTGGATGTCCTGGCTTTAAGTGAAACAAAGCTGAAGGGGGTAGGAGAGTTTCAGTGGAGAGGAATAAATGGGATTAGGTCAGGGGTTTCAAATAGAGTTAGAGCTAAAGAAGGAGTAGCAATAATGTTGAAGGATAAGATATGGCAGGAAAAGAGGGACTATAAATGTATTAATTCAAGGATTATGTGGAGTAAAATAAAGGTTGGATGTGAAAAGTGGGTTATAGTAAGTGTATATGCACCTGGAGAAGAGAGAGGTGTAGAGGAGAGAGAGAGATTTTGGGAAATGTTGAGTGAATGCGTGGGGAGTTTTGAACCAAGTGTGAGAGTACTTGTGGTTGGGGATTTCAATGCTAAAGTGGGCAAAAATGTTGTGGAGGGAGTAGTAGGTAAATTTGGGGTGCCAGGGGTAAATGTAAATGGGGAGCCTTTAATTGAGCTATGTGTAGAAAGAGATTTGGTAATAAGTAATACATATTTTATGAAAAAGAGGATAAATAAATATACAAGGTATGATGTAGCACATAATGAAAGTAGTTTGTTAGATTATGTATTGGTGGATAAAAGGTTAATGGGTAGGCTCCAGGATGTACATGTTTATAGAGGGGCAACTGATACATCGGATCATTGTTTAGTTATAGCTACAGTTAGAGTAAGAGGTAGATGGGACAAGAGGAAGGTGGCAACAACAAGTAGGAGGGAAGTGAAAGTGTATAAACCAAGGGAGGAGGAAGTTCGGGTGAGATATAAGCGACTATTGGCAGAAAGGTGGGCTAGTGCAAAGATGAGTAGTGGGGGGCTTGAAGAGGGTTGGATGAGTTTTAAAAATGCAGTATATGAATGTGGGGCAGAAATTTGTGGTTATAGGAGGGTGGGGGCAGGAGGAAAGAGGAGTGATTGGTGGAATGATGAAGTAAAGCGTGTGATAAAAGAGACGAAGTTAGCTTATGAGAGGTTTTTACAAAGCAGAAGTGTTATAAGAAGAGCAGAGTATATGGAGAGTAAAAGAAAGGTGAAGAGAGTGGTGAGAGAGTGCAAAAGGAGAGCAGATGATAGAGTGGGAGAGGCACTGTCAAGAAATTTTAATGAAAATAAGAAAAAATTTTGGAGTTAAACAAGTTAAGAAAGCCTAGGGAACGCATGGATTTGTCAGTTAAAAACAGAGTAGGGGAGTTAGTAGATGGGGAGAAGGAGGTATTAGGTAGATGGCGAGAATATTTTGAGGAACTTTTAAATGTTGAGGAAGAAAGGGAGGCAGTAATTTCATGCACTGGCCATGGAGGTATACCATCTTTTAGGAGTGAAGAAGAGCTGAATGTAAGTGTGGGGAGGTACGTGAGGCATTACGGAGAATGAAAGGGGGTAAAGCAGCTGGAACTGATGGGATCATGACAGAAATGTTAAAAGCAGGGGGGATATAGTGTTGGAGTGGTTGGTACTTTTGTTTAGTAAATGTATGAAAGAGGGGAAGGTACCTAGGGATTGGAGGAGAGCATGTATAGTCCCTTTATATAAAGGGAAGGGGACAAAAGAGATTGTAAAAATTATAGATTAATAAGTTTATTGAGTATAACAGGAAAAGTGTACGGTAGGGTTATTATTGAAAGAATTAGAGGCAAGACAGAATGTAGGATTGCGGATGAGCAAGGAGGTTTCAGAGTGGGTAGGGGATGTGTAGATCAAGTGTTTACATTGAAGCATATATGTGAACAGTATTTAGATAAAGGTAGGGAAGTTTTTATTGCATTTATGGATTTAGAAAAGGCATATGATAGAGTGGATAGGGGAGCAATGTGGCAGATGTTGCAAGTACGTATATGGAATAGGTGGTAAGTTACTAAATGCTGTAAAGAGTTTTTATGAAGATAGTGAGGCTCAGGTTAGGGTGTGTAGAAGAGAGGGAGACTACTTCCCGGTAAAAGTAGGTCTTAGAGGGGGATGTGTAATGTCACCATAGTTGTTTAATATATTTATAGATGGGGTCGTAAAAGAAGTAAATGCTAGGGTGTTCGGGAAAGGGGTGGGATTAAATTATGGGAAATCAAATACAAAATGGAATTGACACAGTTACTTTTTGCGCGATGATACTGTGCTTATGGGAGATTCTAAAGAAAAATTGCAAAGGTTAGTGGATGAGTTTGGGAGTTTGTGTAAAGGTAGAAAGTTGAAAGTGAACATAGAAAAGAGTAAGGTGATGAGGGTATCAAATGATTTAGATAAAGAAAAATTGGATATCAAATTGGGGAGGAGGAGTATGGAAGAAGTGAATGTTTTCAGATACATGTACTTGGGAGTTGACGTGTCGGCGGATGGATTTATGAAGGATGAGGTTAATCATAGAATTGATGAAGGAAAAAAGGTGAGTGGTGCATTGAGGTATATGTGGAGTCAAAAAAAACGTTATCTATGGAGGCAAAGAAGGGAATGTATGAAAGTATAGTGGTACCAACACTCTTATACGGGTGTGAAGCTTGGGTTGTGAATGCAGCAGCGAGGAGGCGGTTGGAGGCAGTGGAGATGTCCTGTCTAAGGGCAATGTGTGGTGTAAATATTATGCAGAAAATTTGGAATATGGAAATTAGGAGAAGGTATGGAGTTAATAAAAGTATTAGTCAGAGGGCTGAAGAGGATTTGTTGAGGTGGTTTGGTCATTTAGAGAGAATGTATCAAAGTAGAATGACATGGAGAGCATTTAAATCTGTAGGAGAAGGAAGGTGGGGTAGGGGTCGTCCTCGAAAAGGTTGGAAGGAAGGGGTAAGGGAGGTTTTGTGGGTGAGGGGCTTGGACTTCCAGCAGGCGTGCATGAGCGTGTTCGATGTGAGTAAATGGAGACGAATGGTATTTGGGACTTGATGATCTGTTGGAGTGTGAGCAGGGTAATATTTAGTGAAGGGATTCAGGGAAATCGGTTATTTTTATATAGCCGGACTTTGAGTCCTGGAAATGGGAAGTACAATGCCTGCACTCTAAAGGAGGGGTTTTGGAATATTAGCAGTTTGGAGGGATATGTTGTGTATCTTTATACATATATGCTTCTAAACTGTTGTGCTCTGAGCACTTCTGCAAAAACAGTGATTGTGTGTGAGTGAGGTGAAAGTGTTGAATGATGATGAAAGTATTTTCTTTTTGGGGATTTTCTTTCTTTTTGGGTCACCCTGCCTCGGTGGGAGACGGCCGACTTGTTGAAAAAAAACAAACAAAAAAACTTCTATTTCCATGTGCTGGTCTTAAGATTTTAATGTATTGGCCAGAAAATTATTGATTTTAAAAGCTTTCAATAAAGAATTGATAGTCTCTTGAGTAGGATATTGTTCAGTGGCCATTTATGTTATCAGTGCTGGCAGAGTATTCCTACTTTGAAGCATACAAATATCTTTTGATCTTTCCGTGGACTTCAACTTTTCATTTGAACCTAAGGGGTTTGCTATAAGTATTTAGATTGTGGTCTCTGTAACATGGAAGATTGATGTCACACAATTTACACAATGTGTCCGGTGTATAGTATATGAAATTTCAAGGAAGGACTACAACCATACATATGACAGATAGGTAGAAATTTAATTCTCAAGATAAAATATATATGTATGATTGAACAGAAGAAATATGTTATTTATATTCAAGAAAATTCAGTAGTATTCAAGCCTGTGAAAATCATGACTATATAATATTATATAGTATGAAGAAATTCAATAATTGTGTGTATAAATTTACAATAGTCTAGTCCGCATGATTGCATCAGATGTCAATTTTAACATTAAATCTTTCAAGACTAGTGGAAGCCTGTTGCTCTTAACTACTCTTAACCACTATTTCCTGCACTTGGCAGTCCCAGCACCTGGTTTAGCTCCCACTCTGGCTTAGCTTGCCTCCACCTGGTTTATTCCCCCCTGCACCTGCCTTAACTTCCTTGTACCAAACAGCCCTCCCTGCATCTGACTTAACTCCCTTACCATTTGAACTTGACTTAGTCTACCCAAACCTTACTTTGCCTCCCTGCACCTGAATTAACCTCCTCCCCCTGCACCTGCTTGAGCTCTTGCACCTGATTTAGCCTTTCAAACCCTTGACTTAGCAAATGATTAGTTCCTGCATCTTTTGTCAAGTATCTTGTCATGTATATAAATAGCTTCTCTTACAATTTTTTCATCAGATCTTTTGAGTCCACCATTGGTAAACCAGCAGGCATTGTTGCTGTGAATAGCCATAGGGCTAGCTACTACCACACTCTCAAATGTCCTCTTAAACACATTATTTTTTCACACTTACATTTCAGTATATGAACCAGGGAATTCACAAGCAGTAAGCCAGCAATTGCTGCTACCATTCATGGTTTGACATAAGACCATTGCCTTTACATTTGTCCTACGAGGTTACCATTTTGTCCTGGCCCTCAGCATTTAATATAGGGGTTCCCAACCCTGGGGCCACCCCCCCGGGATTTTGTAAAATTGGCATTTCATGGGGTGCAAAAAGAGTTCTAATGGGAAAACACAAAACCCTTTTTTTCCAAAAAACTTTTCTAATTGCTCAATTTTTATTTGCATTTTGCACTACATTTTAAAACTTATTTTTTGAGTTTAGTTTGTTCACAACAGTATGTATTGGTTTAATTTTTTATTCAAAAATTTGGAAAATTTGACTTTACTTTAAATTGATATTACTTTTTAGAGGGGGCATCATTAACAAAAATTTCCCAGGGGTGTGGGGCATAGAAAAAGGGTTTGGGAAACCCCCTGATTTTTGGACCCTGAGACAAAGACCACTCAGAAAATTTTTCCCCAAAATAAAATAATAAAGTTACACATCCATCTGCTGAGAGGGTTTTTAGTTTGAGGCTGAAACCCATGATATTCCTTTTATCTTTTGATTCAATTTCTCCATGAGAGTTTGTTTATGCCATTGACCAATGTTTATTACACTTTTGCATATTGATTTATGGCATTGCATTTGCATTAAGTGCAGTATGTAGTTTTCCCATTTTTATTAAGTTTTATTAGAAAATTTGGGTATATCTAGATATAGGTCTGTTACCCGTTAATAGCTCTGGGGATTGTCTTTCCCATGGCTCAGTCTCAGTCAAGGCCTTCAAGGTTGGAAAGGAAATGCAGTGGACCCTCAGTTATTGGCCATAATCTGTTCCAGAAGGTCAGCCTAAAACCGAAATAATATTTCCCACAAGAATTAATGTAAATACAATTAATCCGTTCCAGACACCCAAAAATATTAACAAAAAATACATTTTTTAAAGATTAATTATAGTTTTACATACACAAAACAATGAGAACTAAATACAGTAAATAAATGAACATTTAAATCACTATTACATACCTTTATTGAAGACTATTATTGGCTTATGGAAGACAGGGAGGAGGAGAGAGGGAGGACTGATTGTTGTTTGGAAGGGGAATCCCCCTCCATAAGGACTTCAGGTATCAAAGCCCTCTCTGGGGTTGCTTCCCTCCCTGCCTGCTACACTCCCTGCCTGCCTGCTACACTCCCTGCCTGCCTGCTACACTCCCTGCCTCCCTGCTACACTCCCTCCATGCTACACACCCTGCATGCCTGCTACACTCCCTGCCTTCCTCCTACACTCCCTGCTACACCCTGCCTCCCTACTACACTCCCTGCCTCCCTGCTACACAGTGCATCGCTGCTACACTTCCTGCATGCTTGCTACACTCCCTGCCTCCCTTCCCCACTCCCTGTTTCCCTGCTACACTCCCAGCCTCCCTGCTAAACTCCCTCCCTCCATGCTACACCCTGCCTCCCTACTGCACTCCCTGCCTACCTGCTGCACTCCCTCCCTCCATGCTACACTCCCTATCTCCCTTCCACCCTCCCTGTTTCCCTGCTACACTCCCTGCTAAACTCCCTCCCTCCATGCTACACTCCCTGCCTGCCTGCTACACTCCCTGCCTCCCTACTACACTCCCTCCATGCTACACACCCTGCATGCCGCTACACTCCCTGCTACACCCTGCCTCCCTATACTGCACTCCCTGCCTGCCTGCTACACTCCCTCCCTCCATACACAAATAACCCGCACATAAAAGACAGAAGCTTACGACGACGTTTCGGTCCGACTTGGACCATTGACAAAGTCACACTAACAGAGGAGGAGCAGGACGGCTATATATAGGCAGGAAGAGGTGGAGGTAGTAGTAGTGGTAGTAGTAGTAGTAGTAGTAGTAGTACAAGAATTGTATATAATACCGACAGGATGAAATGACACATGCACAACACCCGGGCATCCCCACCGTAGACGTTTCGCCATCCAGCCAGCCACTGGATGGCGAAACGTCCACAACAAAGACAACCAGACGCCGCACATGTGTCTAATTTCATCAGTAGATGTAGTAGAAGAAGAAGAGGTAGTAGTAGTGGTAGTGGTAGAAGTGGGAAATAAGTAAGACGAGCCAGTCAAATACAAAGGAAGGGGAGCACTGCAAGAGAGCTAGAAACCCACAGAGGGAGAGCAAGCGCACCGAGGTGCGTGAAAGGGGAAGTGGAGAAATAAAATAAAGAAGGAACAGAAACACGAGACAGGAGAGAGAAAGACAACCCAGAGGAGAAAAGGAGAGAGGAAAGGGGAAGAGGAAGAAGAAAAAGAAGAAGAAGAAGAAAAAATGAGGATTCAGGTTAAGTCACGGGTGTTCTGAAGTTTGGAGCATTTTACAATGTAGTGGGAGAGGAAGGCATCTACAGAGACGAAGCCAGGGCTAAGGTTCATACAAGGAAAGTTGTGTATAAGAGAGGATTCAACTAAACGGCGACTGTTCGAGTTGGAAGTAGGGAAGACAGTTTTTAGCAGAAGACCAGTCAATAGGATGGCTATGATCTCTGACGTGACAGAAAAGAGCATTGTTAGTGTCGGCAAGCCTAACACTATTTTTGTGCTCCCTAAGTCTGTCAGAAAGAGATCGACCAGTTTCTCCAAAGTATTGAAGAGGACAGGAGGAGCAAGAAATAGAGTAGACACCAGGAACATCTGTAGAGGGAGGAGAGGTATGAACGAGATTAGTGCGAAGAGTGTTAGTCTGGCGGAAGGTAAGCTTGATGTCTAAGGGACGGAGAGAATTGTTGAGATTAGAAAGACCGGAAATGTAGGGAAGGCAGAGGATAGAAGAGTTCCCATGAGTAGAGAGTTTGGGAGAGAAGAAATTGCGTTTAGCACGTGAGAGGGCAGAGTCTATGAAATGGGAAGGGTAGCCAAGACGGGAGAACGAATTATAAAGAGTGGAAATTTTCTGCTGGAAGGAACTGAGGATCACAGATGCGGAGGGCACGGAGAAAGAGGGAGATAAGAACACTTTTCTTGACACTCCCTACATGCACTACTACTACTACTACACTCCCTCCATGCTACACACCCTGCCTCCCTACTGCACTCCCTGCCTCCCTACTGCACTCCCTGCCTGCCTGCCTGCTACACTCCCTCCCTCCATGCTACATTCCATGCCTGTCTGCTACACTCCCTGCCTCCCTGCTACACTCCTTCCATCCATGCTACACACCCTGTCTTCCTCCTACACTCCCTGCTACACCCTGCCTCCCTGCTACACTCGCTGCCTGCCTACTATACTCCCTGCCTCCCTGCTACACTCCCTGCATGCTTGCTACACTCCCTACCTCCCTTCCACACTCCCTGTTTCCCTGATACACTCCCTGCCTCCCTGCTAGACTCCCTCCCTCCATGCTACACTTCTTGCCTTCATGCCTGCTACACCCTGCCTCCCTACTGCACTCCCTGCCTGCCTGCTACACTCCCTCCCTCCATGCTACACTCCCTGCCTTCCTCCTATACTCCCTGCTACACTCTGCCTCCCTGCTACACTCTGCCTCCCTGCTACACACTGCCTCCCTGCTACACTCCCTGCATTCCTGCTACACTGCATGCCTTCCTCCTACACTCCCTGCTATACCCTGCCTCCCTACTACACTCCCTGCCTGCCTGGTACACTCCCTGCCTCCCTGCTAAACTCCCTTTTGCAACATTAACTTCCTTGATTTCTACTTTCTTTGCCAGGATGGAAGTGATTGTTGATTTGTATTCCCCATACATTCTGGCAAGTTCTACCACTTGAACACCACTCTCATATTTTTCAACAACTTCTTTCCTAAATTCCATCGTGTTTCTCACTTTCTTTACCAAAGGAACTTTATTAGAAACTTTCTTTGGACCCATGGTTGCTTATTTCGCAGTTGCACTCAGTCAATAACTACAAAAAACAATGGATTATAGCGAAATGTTTGGATAAATGAGCAGAAACTTCCTTACTCGCCCAGAAACACAACCAGACCGACACATGAGTGCATGAGCGGCTGGCGGGCGGGCGGGTGGACGTGTCCAATATGGCTAATAAGTGAAATAATGGCTGATAACTGGAATAAAATTTTGGTCAAAAAACCGGGTGATAACTAAGTCGGCCAATACCCATAACGGCCGTTAACTGAGGGTCCACTGCATTACAGTCAAGAACTCTGAAGAAATACACAGGAAAGTAAAAGTTAGAAAGAAAGCATCATCAATAATGCTAGAGTACAAAAAAATTAACAGGTATCCATCCAGTTCACACTCATTTGACAGGATGGTATTACCTCTGTGGATAGTTGCTGTTTACCAGCCTATGTGAATTTTTGTGCTAACTTGTTTATATTTTTTGTATTTACATACCAACCTGCTTTCTGTACATGTATGTGCACATTAGTTTTCCCCAGAGCTCTGCATATCATCAGTACTCATGCAAACTTTTCATTGACAGGCATATGAATGTGACCAGTGTGATGAAGTATTCATCCGGATTGGGTTACTGATGAGTCATCGAAGAGATAATCACCGCCAAAGTTTCTCCTGTAATGAATGTGATGCCAAGTTTTCCCATTCTAATAGTTATAAACTCCACTTTCGGCGACACAAAGGTGATAAGCCCCATAAGTGCTCAGACTGTAACATGGCCTTTGTACAACAATGTCATCTCAATATTCATCGTCGTATACACACAGGAGAGAAACCTTTCAAGTGTGAACTATGTCAACAAAGATTTAAGCAAGTGTCTCATTTGACAACACACATGAGGGTCCACACTAATGACAAGCCATTTACATGCTCTCTTTGCCAAGCATCATTTTCTCAAACAAGTAGTCTAACAAGACATAAAAGAAGACATACTGGAGAGAAGCCTTTTAAGTGTGATGAATGTGGTGCCCTGTTTGTTGAAAGAAGAAATCTTTCTCGTCATCAACTGACTCATACTGGTGAGAAGCCTTATAAATGTGAAAAATGTCCAGCATCATTTACCCAGATGATTGATCTGAAGCGTCATCAGATGTCGCATAGTGGATTGAAGCCATTTAAGTGTGATATTTGTGATGCTGCTTTTAGTCGGAAGAATAACCTTCGGTGGCATAAATTGACTCATGAGGGTGATACGCCCTTTAGATGTGAAAGATGTAATGCTGGCTTTAGTCTTCAGAGGGACATGAAGGCTCACATGAGGACACATTCTGGCACAAAACCATTTAGCTGTGACCAGTGTGGGGCAACATTTTCACAGTTTAGTACATTGAAACGACATAGGCAGGGACACACAGGAGAAAGACATTATGTTTGTACCAAATGCCATGGAGCTTTTAAGGATAAGAGTGCATTGAAGAGACATATGTTACGCCACGATGGAGTAAGACCATTTGCTTGCCAAAAATGTGACTCTACTTTTATTGAATTTCGGAACCTTAAACGGCATAAAGTGACCGTTCATGGGGAAGAGCGTTTTGAAGGAGGTGATGGCTTAGCTGAAGCAAGGGAAAGTGAAAACAATCAGAACATTCCTCCCCCCAAGAAGAGAATGGGAAAAGTTGAGGAAGAAGAGGCAATCAGTGATATATATGATGCAAGTTATCAAGCAGTTTCTTTAGTCCAGAATCAAGAAGTTGCTCAGCAACAGCAACATGTTGGTCAGTCAGTACCTCTAGCACCACCAACACCTCTTCAGCAAAATCAACAGCAATCCCACACCTCTACAGTACAAACACACCCTCAACCTCCCATGATTAGTGATATTGTTACTATTCCTGCTCAGGGCCCTGGACAAGTACCTACCTTATTGCTAACACAGCCTGGTCAACCGCCAAAGACTGCCCGTCCTGCAAATAACTGTCAGAATCACCAGTCTCATGTTTTAACATTTGTAGATGGCAGCTACAATCATTGGCAGTCGTGGTGCTTTTGTGAAACTCCAAACGTACCTGGAGCTTCACAGACCGTTATAGATAATGGAAGTACAGTCAGTCATCCATCTACATCTGCTGCTGCTGCTGTTCAGCAGCATCAGCAAGTCACATACACAGAGCTTCAGCAGTCACAACCACAACCACAGCAACAACAAACTGTGGGTGTGCAGGAGGTTAGTCAAACTGAATATCACCCAACTACTCAGTTTAATAGTGGATACCCAGAGCCTATACACCATTATGATGAAAGTCATCATCAGGAACCCTTAGATCCTCTTTCCCATCATCACCAGTCCCAGCTTCAGTCGCACAGTGAAGCTGAAGTTAAAATTGCTATTGAGACTCCACGATTGTTTACAGTGCCAGGCATTCAAGATGAGCAGCAACAGCCCCAGCAGCAAGACCAGCAGGAGCAGCAGCAGCAGCAGCAGCAGCAGCAACAGCAGCAGCAGCAACAACAGCAACAGCACAGCCACCATCACCACCAGCTTCATCCTCACCAAGAACAAGATCAAGAGCAACAAGTGGATCCTCAAGTCACTTTCCAGTACAGTTTAACTGTTAATAATCCTGCCACAGGTGACATACAGATTCAGAGCGAAGCATTTCCTGCTAATCCTCCTGATCCACCTGCTGATCCACCCATCAAAAAAAGACGTCTGACAAAGACTTCAGATTCTCAAGAAGCTAGAACATTCACCTGTAATTCCTGCCCAAAAACATTTTCAAGAATAAATCACTTACTAATACACCAACGTACACACACTGGAGAAAAGCCATTTCAGTGTGGTGTTTGCTTTCAATCATTTACACACAAAAACAGTTTGACTATCCACATGCGAGGACACACTGGGGAACGTCCTTATGTTTGTGAAACTTGTGGATCATCATTCACTCAAAAAAGTAACTTAAGAGTTCATTCACGCACTCATACAGGAGAAAAGCCATTTAAATGTGATATGTGTGATGTTGCTTTCACTCAGGGGAGCCACTTAACTGCACACAAACGAATTCATAATAATGATCGTCCATTTGCATGTGAGAGTTGTCAGCAAACATTTACCCAACGTAGTGCTCTTAAGCGCCACCTTATAACACATACTGGGGATAAGCCACATAAATGTAATGACTGCAATGCTAGATTTTCACAAAGGGATGATCTTAGAAGACATCAGCGTGTGCATTCTGGGGATAAATCTGTTACCTGTGCATGTATGTATTGTACTGTATCCTTCAGTGATAGAACTGCCTTGGCTAGGCACATTCGAACAGTTCATCAGGGCAAGCAAGAGGCCCTTGGAGATGGACAAAAAAAGAAAAAGAAGAAGTCGGTTGGAAAACAGGGTACAGGTCATGAGGGTAGCCCTAAAAATTCTAAAACTAAGTCAAAATTTACAGAACCAACACGAACTAGTAGACGACTTCGTGAAGCAGCAGAAAAGAAGAAATATAAGCCAGAAAATTCTGATTTTATTATAGGAGACTTTGTAGAAATTGAAGAAGATATAAAGCCTTTAATCCACCAGAGAGGATCAAAGAAATCTGTAAAATTAGAGGGAGTAAAAGGTGATGCTAAAAATAAAATGGAATCATGGTGCTTTTGTGAAGTTCCTCATGGGCCTGATGAGCCTCACACACATGCATCAGTAGAGTCCAAATCAAGGAGTGATCAGTCCACGGCTATTTTGTCCACTGTGGATGAAGCTAACTCACATGTGTCTGCTCATGAATCTACTGTTGCTAGTGCTGATGCTTCAGGTGCAACCTCTTTGCTTCAACTGTCTATGGAGCATGTGACTCACAATCAATCATCAGGAACCATTGGTGGAGGCCTTCAAACCCATTCTGTTGGAGGTACTGTTAATCTTGGTGCCTCTGCTATTATGGGACCTTCACATGTTGCAGAAGCACCTGTTATTACAACATCCACAAGCCAGCACACACAGGTGACCACAGTTGGTCAAGAAGAATCCTCAGTTAATCAGAATTTACCGAATGGACAGGTGGTTACCACTGTGGGTCATGCAGGATCTGGTCAAGCCAATAGTCGATTAGTCAGTCATCCCATGTTAACCACTGGTCATGTTTTGTCTGCTGGTCAAATAGTTGGTGCTAGTCAGTTGATGACACAAGACGGAGCAATATTCATAGAAGCATCAGGAGAGATGTTGAGCAATGGGGCTGTTGTTATCAACTCAGGGCATGGTACTTTCATCAGCTATGATCAAATCACTCTCAGTCAAGATGGCCAGGTAAAGAAACAATGATTTTTTTGTCATGTCTTTCATTACTAAAACAATGATAGTGTTACATATAACCTGTTTGTGATTACAAGATTGTCTTTCCATTGTGATTTGTTTACTGGGTGGAGACCTTGTTAGAATTTTGAGCACTTAAATTTATTAAGCAGATGAGCAAATGCAACTCAGAAATTTAGACATCAACATCTTCATCATTTAGGTGTAATACCCTTCAGGGGAGGTTCCTTGGTACTGGTAAGTGGCTCTTGATCCAAGAAATTGGAGCTGTCCTCCTTTTCCTTTGATCAAACCTTAGTGCTTCCCATTTTTAGGTGATTTATCACCCTTGTGGGTTCAGCACTTTCCTCTAAAAATAATAAATATAATGATGTAGGAAGTACAGTGCTTGCACTCTGAAGGCGGGGGTAGGGATATTGCAGATTGGAGGGGCTTCTGAGCTGTTGTGCCAGTGCCTCCTCTAGCAAGACGACGATGGCATAAGTGTTGGGGAAAGTGTTCCTTCTTTGTTTGGGCATCCTACATCAGTGGGAGACAGCTAGTGTGTTAAAAATGATAATGATGATGATGATAATAATACAGTGGACCCCCGCATAACGATATTAATCCGTTCATGAGATCTCATTGTTATGCGAAATTATCGTTATGCAAATAAATTTTCCCCATAAGAAATAATGGAAATCAAATTAATCCGTGCAAGACACCCCAAAGTATGAAAAAAAAAAATTTTACCACATGAAATATTAATTTTAATACACACAAACTGAAAAAGGCATGCACAGTTACATGACACTTACCTTTATTGAAGATCTGGTGATGATTGATGGGATGGGAGGAGGAGAGAGTCTTAGTGTTTAGAAGGGGAATCCCCTTCCATTAAGACTTGAGGTGTCAAGTCCTTTTCTGGGGTTACTTCCCTTCTTTTAATGCCACTAGGACCAGCTTCAGAGTCACTGGACTTCTGTCGCACAACATATCTGTCCATAGTGGCCTGTACCTCTCGTTCCTTTATGACTTTCCTAAAGTGTTTCACAACAGTGTCAGTGTAATAGTCACCAGCATGGCTTGCAATAGCTGTGTTAGGGTGATTGTCATCAAAAAAGGTTTGCACTTTAAGCCACATTCCACACATTTCCTTAATCTTTGAAGTAGGCAACTTCTTCAATTTCTCTCTCCCCTCCTCCGAACCAGTTTCCTCAGGTCTGGCCTCTTGCTGTTGAAGTTGATCTAGCAGCTCATCAGTGGTTAGTTCTTCATTGTCCTCCTCCACCAACTCTTCCACATCATCCCCACTAACCTCCAACCCCAAGGACTTTCCCAATGCCACAATGGATTCCTCAACTGGCATAGGATTCCCAAGGTTAGCCTCAAACCCTTCAAAATCCCTTTGGTCTACACATTCTGGCCACAGTTTCTTCCAAGCAGAGTTCAAGGTCCTCTTAGTCACTCCCTCCCAAGCCTTACCTATAAGGTTTACACAATTGAGGATATTAAAGTGATCTCTCCAAAACTCTCTTAGAGTCAATTGAGCACCTTTCAAACAGAGCTTTTGTGTACAGTTTTTTGAAGTTTGCAATAACCTGCTGGTCCATGGGCTGCAGGAGAGGAGTGGTATTAGGAGGCAAAAACTTCACCTTAATGAAGTTCATGTCCCCATAAAGTCGCTCTGCCACGTCTGTAGGATGACCAGGGGCATTGTCTAACACCAGGAGGCACTTAAGGTCTAATTTCTTTTCAGTTAGGTAATCTTTCACATTGGGGGCAAATGCATGGTGTAACCAGTCATAGAAAAAGTCCCTAGTGACCCATGCCTTACTGTTTGCCCTCCACAGCACACACAAATTAGCCTTGAGGATATTCTTTTGCCTGAACGCTCTGGGAGTTTCTGAGTGATACACTAATAAAGGCTTCACTTTGCAATCACCACTAGCATTGGAACACATCAACAGAGTAAGCCTGTCTTTCATAGGCTTATGTCCTGGGAGTGCCTTTTCCTCCTGAGTAATGTACATCCTGCTTGGCATTTTCTTGCAAAACAGGCCTGTTTCATCACAATTAAGCACTTGTTCAGTTTTCAGTTCTTCACTGTCTATGTACTCCTTGAATTCCTGCACATATTTTTCAGCTGCTTTGTGGTCCGAACTGGCAGCCTCACCATGCCTTATCACACTATGTATGCCACTACGCTTCTTAAATCTCTCAAACCAACCTTTGTTGGCCCTAAATTCACTCACATCATCACTAGTTGCAGGCATTTTTTTTAATTAAATCCTGATGCAACTTCCTAGCCTTTTCACTTATGATCACTTGAGAGATGCTATCTCCTGCTATCTGTTTTTCATTTATCCATACCAATAAGAGTCTCTCAACATCTTCCATCACTTGCGATCTCTGTTTCGAAAACACAGTTGAACCTTTGGCAAGAACAGCTTCCTTGATTGCCGTTTTGTTGGACACAATAGTAGCGATGGTTGATTGGGGTTTACTATACAACCTGGCCAGCTCGGAGACACGCACTCCACTTTCATACTTAGCAATGATGATCTCTTTCTTTATCTCTATAGTAATTCTCACCCTTATTCCTGTAGGGTTGGCACTAGAAGCTTTCTTGGGGCCCATGGTCACTTATTTTGCAGATAAAATCACCAAAAACACTGTAATAATACGAAATGTTCCGATTGTATGCTTGGATGTTACCGCGGAGGCTAGCTGGTAAACAATGCCACTGGCGGAACATGTGAGGCTGGCTCAGGCCGCACATTAGACGCGTCTCGGACGAATAGCATTGAGCGGGTTTTTTAGCGGTATGCGAGGCAAAATCTTAGCGATAAAATGTATCGGTATGCGGATTTAACGTTATGTGATGCCAACGGTATGCGGGGGTCCACTGTATAATTAACAGAGTATATATAAAATATGAAATAACTTTTAAAAACACTTGAAATTTTACAGTTTCCAGACATAATGGAGAGACTTAGTGCTTACGGATCTCGCACAGAATGTAAACAAACCGGGTGGGGCACAGTGACCGTATTAGAAAGTCAGGTGGGGGAGCCTTATAGAGAGTTTTAGTCATAATTTGAAATGACCGTATTAGCGGAACACCATAAAGCGGAGCCCTACTCTATATTTATTATCAAACCGGTCATATCCCACCAAGGCAGGGTGACCTATAAAGAAAAACAAAAGTTTCTCTTTTTAAATTGAGTAACGTATACAGGAGAAAGAGTTCTAGCCCCTTGTTCCAAATAATGCATTTAATTTAATAATAATATAGTAATTATAATTAAAATATTGTGGTAACAGGTTTTCTCTTGATATGCCTGACAGAAACATAGCTGTTGGAGTCTGATATAGCAGTGGTTGCAGCTGCTCTCCCCATGTCCTTTTTGATTTACTGTATTCCAAAGTTAGCTGCTACTCATGGTGAAGGAGTTGTCGTTTTTTTCTTTGTTTCTGCCATGCATTCATTATATACCTTTTAAGATAATGGAAGTAGCAGCAAATTGTCATCAGCAGATTTAAGAATAATCCTGTACTGATGGTTCAGATTTCTTGTTTCTTAATGAATTTTGTTTTCTTATTGAATCTTTTGCAAAAAAAAAAAAAAAATAGTCATCTTGTGTGGCGACTTTAATTATTGGATTGGTTATCACAACAGAAGACCTATTCATACAAGTTGTTGGAGCTAATAGATCTGAATAATTTTGAGAATGTGTTATTACCTACCCACATTAGTGGCCATATATTGGACTTGGTTCTGTCTACTGCCAATTCTTGGAGCATTAAAGATGTGAGGTAATACCTCTTGATGTTACTATGTGTGATCATTGTGCTTCTCCATGGAGAAGTGGAACATAATTCTTCCTCCGTAAGCTATGCATGTTGTAAGAGATGACTAAAATGCCGGGAGCAGGGGGCTAGTAACCCTTCTCCTGTATATATTACTAAATGTAAAAGGAGAAACTTTCGTTTTTCCTTTTGGGCCACCCCCACCTCGGTGGGATATGGCTGGTATTTTGAAAGAAAGAAAGATCATTGTGTAGTTACTTTTAGTCTTGATTTTTTGGTTCTGCCTTCTTGTGAGCACATACTGTCTTTCCATAATTGTAGAAACCTTGATCTGTGCCAGTTTGGTGTGTTGGTGAGAGATGCCTTCAGCAGAGTGGATATATCTGCACTGTATCACTGTATCTGCACTGTCTATTGACCTGATAGCAAAGATTCATGATGAGATGTTTACGGCTGTGACTAGCAAGTCATTTTAGTCATAATGATTTATGACTTAGCCCCTTGGTATAATTCCTCTGTTGCTGAACTTCATGGGGATTTGTGGGGTGTCAATGGCATAGATTACGTACTCCTAGTTCATGGCCTGATTATGTAGAAGTCCGTTGAACAGTTATAGATAGAACTTGTAAAGTGGAATACTACAGGAAAAAGTTGAATGTAGTCATGGAAATCAGGGGTTCTTGTTCTTCCATCTGAATGACCTGCTTGGTTGTGTATGTGAGCCTGATTTCCCTATCTCTGATTCTCCTTTACAGCTGGTATCAGACTTCTCTGATTGTTGTTGTTGTTGTTCTTTCAACAAACTGGCCATATTCTACCAAAGCAGAATGGCCCAAAAAAGAAAAATGAAAGTTTCTCTTTTTAACTTTAGTAACATATACAGGAAAAGGGGTTACTAGCCTCTTGCTCCCGGCATTTTAGTCGCCTCTTATGACACGCATGGCTTATGGAGGAAGAATTCTGTTCCACTTTCCCATGATTGTTATGGTCAGAAAATAGAGAATATTCATTTAGATTTGAATTCAACTCAAGAAGGTGCAGATTTTATGGTGACTGTTCTAGCTATTGATTTATCACAGTTTGCTCCAGTTGTGGTAGATCATGGGTTTTAATCAGACATATTGTGCATTAGATCATATAATTTTTCCAAAGATCTTGTCTGCATGTGAAAGTGCTGTTCCTTTTATAACTTTGTTGATTGTTATTTTCAAAGTGGATGGTTTCCACGGTCAATGAAAGAGGCTTTGATTTGCCTGTTTCTCGGGAAACCTTCTCTTGATTCAGAAAGCATAAATTGTACCTCTCTGGTCTGTCATATCTGGTAGCAGTCAGTGATTCTGTATCTGAGTCATCTCCTTTGCCCTCCAGCATTCCTCAGGGCTGTTCTGAGACCACTATTGTTTACTGGTAGCCTTACATTGGATGCCCATGGAGTTAATTATCATTTTTATGCTGATTATACACAAGCCTGGGTTCTAAATAGTATGTAAAGATGATTTTTTTTTTTACTGCTTAATATTTGGAATTGGATAACAAATAGAAAATTAAAACTAAATGAGGGTAAGATAGAGATTTTTTATTGTCAGATTGGAAGTTTTGGTGTCTATCATTGTGGCACTGTCAGTTAGTAGTCTGTGAGATCTGGGCATCTACCTGGATTCTTCATTGGCAGTTTTTGGACACATCAACTGAATTGTAAAATTTTACGTATTTCGTATTTGTAATCTATATGCTGTTAGAAAATATCTTGATAAACAGAGTGTGTATCTTGGCCCTTATCCATGCATTTGTTTCCTGTTGAATTAATTTTTTTTGCAACTGTTTGTTTGTGGGTTTACCTAACTACTTGGTAAAAAGATTTGAGTCTGTACCAAATCGTGCAGCTGTACTACTGGTATTTTCACTCCCAATTTGGGTTCCTAATAGTCCCAACTTGTCTGAGCTGTATTAACCCCCTATCAAGGCAAGAATTAAATTTAAACTGTTTCATAACATTTAAAGTTACTTAGTATAACCCTTTCAATGACCGTCACATAGAACCACATCATTGAGGCCGGGATCCCTCGTGTAATTGTATGTCATGAGCTCAGCTCGCTTAGATAAGCTGTGATTAATAAATTTTGGCCTCAGAATGAGAATGAGTCTGTGCAGTGAGTGCACAGTATAAAAAAATCCTGCCTCATTCAGTGCATTACGGAAAAAGCAAAACTCTAACCATGTGTATAGTTTAAAATAGCAACTTTGAGGTGTTTTCTCAGATGTTTTTATTAACTGTTTCTTGATAGAATGAAAGACATATTACTGAAATAGAGATAATTTTGGTTGGTTTCAGGACAAGAAGTAGCTTGAAATTGAGCTCAAAGTGGAATTATTTGATTTTGCTGAGAGAGGGATGGAAATGGATGCAAGGAGAGGATGGAAGGGAGGTAGGGACTAAAAAAAAAAAAGGCACAATACCATTAAGGAATGGGAGAGAGTGAGATATTAGGGAATGGAAGAGAGTGAGATATTAGGGAATGGAAGAGAGAGAGATATTAGGGAATGGAAGAGAGAGAGATATTAGGGAATGGAAGAGAGTGAGACATTAGGGAATGGAAGAGAGATATTAGGGAATGGAAGAGAGTGAGATATTAGGGAATTTGAGAGAGTGAGACTTGAGAATGGAAGAGAGTAAGGCTAGTGGATGAGAGAAAATAAAGTTAGGGAATTGGAAAGTGAGGTAAAGGAATGGAAAGGAAAAGGAGAAAGAAGGGGAGAAGGAGAGAGAGAGGGACTCACTTAAGTACTGTACTATTTTTAGTTTCATCATTAAAAAAATGAAATTAAGTATAGAGTACACAGATAACCCACACATAGGAGAGAGGAGCTTACGATGATGTTTCATGTCCGTAGCTCAAACACTAGCGCACTCAGCTCACACACTGAGGTCCGGGGTTCGAATCTCCTCCGGTACAGTTGGAAAATATTAAGGACATGTTTCCGTGAGACACCTGCTGTCCCTGTCCCTGTTCACTCATCAGTTTAAAATGGGTACCTGGGTGTTAGTTGACTGGTGTGGGTCACATCCTGGGATAAAACTGACCTAATTTGCCTGAGATGCTCAGCATAAGTGGTTTTCTATATATTAGTAGTACATAGTATGTCATTGATATCGGCTACGCCTGTATACCATGTGCAGAAAGGTGGGCTAGTGCAAAGATGAGTAGTGGGGGGGTTGAAGAGGGTTGGAATAGTTTTAAAAATGCAGTATTAGAATGTGGGGCAGAAGTTTGTGGTTATAGGAGGGTGGGGGCAGGAGGAAAGAGGAGTGATTGGTGGAATGATGAAGTAAAGGGTGTGATAAAAGAGAAAAAGGTAGCTTACGAGAGGTTTTTACAAAGCAGAAGTGTTATAAGAAGAGCAGAGTATATGGAGAGTAAAAGAAAGGTGAAGAGAGTGGTGAGAGAGTGCAAAAGGAGAGCAGATGAAAGAGTGGGAGAGGCACTGTCAAGAAATTTTAATGAAAATAAGAAAAAATTTTGGAGTGAGTTAAACAAGTTAAGAAAGCCTAGGGAAAGTATGGATTTGTCAGTTAAAAACAGAGTAGGGGAGTTAGTAGATGGGAGAGGGAGGTATTAGGTAGATGGCGAGAATATTTTGAGGAACTTTTAAATGTTAAGGAAGAAAGGGAGGCGGTAATTTCATGCATGGCCAGGGAGGTATACCTCTTTTAGGAGTGAAGAAGAGCAGACTGTAAGTGTGGTGGAGGTACGTGAGGCATTACGTAGAATGAAAGGGGGTAAAGCAGCTGGAACTGATGGATCATGACAGAAATGTTAAAGCAGGGGGGATATAGTGTTGGAGTGGTTGGTACTTTTGTTTAATAAATGTATGAAAGAGGGAAGGTACCTAGGGATTGGGGAGAGCATGTATAGTCCCTTTATATAAAGGGAAAGGGGACAAAAGAGATTGTAAAATTATAGAGGAATAAGTTTACTGAGTATACCAGGAAAAGTATACGGTAGGGTTATAATTGAAAGAATTAGAGGTAAGACAGAATGTAGAATTGCGGACGAACAAGGAGGTTTCAGAGTGGGTAGGGGATGTGTAGATCAAGTGTTTACACTGAAGCATATATGTGAACAGTATTTAGATAAAGGTAGGGAAGTTTTTATTGCATTTATGGATTTAGAAAAGGCATATGATAGAGTGGATAGAGGAGCAATGTGGCAGATGTTGCAAGTATATGGAATAGGTGGTAAGTTACTAAATGCTGTAAAGAGCTTTTATGAGGATAGTGAGGCTCAGGTTAGGGTGTGTAGAAGAGAGGGAGAATACTTCCCGGTAAAAGTAGGTCTTAGACAGGGATGTGTAATGTCACCATGGTTGTTTAATATATTTATCGATGGGGTTGTAAAAGAAGTAAATGCTAGGGTGTTCGGGAGAGGGGTGGGATTAAATTATGGGGAATCAAATTCAAAATGGGAATTGACACAGTTACTTTTTGCTGATGATACTGTGCTTATGGGAGATTCTAAAGAAAAATTGCAAAGGTTAGTGGATGAGTTTGAGAATGTGTGTAAAGGTAGAAAGTTGAAAGTGAACATAGAAAAGAGTAAGGTGATGCGGGTATCAAATGATTTAGATAAAGAAAAATTGGATATCAAATTGGGGAGGAGGAGTATGGAAGAAGTGAATGTTTTCAGATACTTGGGAGTTGACGTGTCAGCGGATGGATTTATGAAGGATGAGGTTAATCATAGAATTGATGAGGGAAAAAAGGTGAGTGGTGCGTTGAGGTATATGTGGAGTCAAAAAACGTTATCTATGGAGGCAAAGAAGGAATGTATGAAAGTATAGTAGTACCAACACTC